GCAGCTCCAGCCATCACCATGTGTTGGTGGTTCGGAAGTCAGGTGGGAGAGAGGGGGTCACGCAGGGGACCTCAGCTCACCCCTGGCCAAGGCGGGGCATGTGGGAGGTATGGAAGAGTGAGCTGGTGCCAGACGCGATGTGGAGCTGGTGGAGGGTGCCAGCTAGGAGCTTCCACATCCTGGCTAAAATGGCCCCTGTGACCAGTGGGTAGCTTGCCCCGGCGGTGGCCTCCAGTGGGTGATGCCCTGGCAACAACAGGGTGAGGGGAGGCTGTGGGTGGGGCATATCTTCTCGCGGGCAGGCTGGGCCCACCCGGGCATGCTGAGCTCCAGGTGCCTCTTAGACGTGTGTTGGAGGAGTTGAGAGGTAGATGGCTGGCATGACTTCCAGAGAGTTCTGACTGGAGACATATATTCTAAGCCATGGTCCTGCACTGGCGTCCAGCAAAAGCACGTTCCAGTTATAGACTAGAAATTGTGGCGGAGTGAGGTGTAGTTCAGGGGTCTCTGTTCCCTGCAGCGGTCACGTTAGCATGGCCTGAAGATTCCCTTTGGTTTGGGGCCCAGCCCCTTTCTAGACTTCGTTTGTCCGTGAAGTCAGCCAGGTGCCAGAGATCCCTCAGATTTCCCACAAAATTCATATCCACTAAGTTGCGAATAGTCCATGAGATATAAAAAAAATATAGTCCTTTTGGAGAATTTTTGCACAATCAGTGTCATTTCTGGATCTATTGAGGAAATTTTGGGGAGACTCAAACAGATGTGTCCTTTGGCACACAGCAAAATGATAACATTCTCGGAAAGTTGGCAACACAGAAAACTGTTCCTAAAAATGCTTCATTGTGGCCACATTGTCCTAGCTGGTGTCGAATGCCGCCCGTGTCCTGAGCTGGACACAGGTGAGCAGATCCGCACAGGGATGGAGGGACAAGAGGCACCACCTGGTCTTGGGGATACCTGGGACTTTGCTCTGTGACCCCGAGCAGGTGACTTGCCCCTCTTGAGCCTCAGCCGGCTGTGGGACAGGATAAGAAGAGAATTTCCCTAGGCCTGTCACCCTCACTCACCAGTACGAGGCTCTGTAACTGCTAGGCTTGGGGTCATTTTTGGAAACTTCCAGAGTATAGTTTGCAGGACAGGGGCTCCCATCCAGGACAAGCACTGTCCTGGGCTGCCAGGCCCATTAGGGGTATCAGCTGGGGGAGGGATAGATTTGTCCCTCTGGGGCCTAGGTCTGGCTCTCCCCCTCCAACCTCCTCTTTGGGCCTTGTCATCAGTGCTTTCCAAAGTTACCATTTTGATGCTTTGGGCAGTTGATCCTGGTTCTTTTATCCCAAACATGTAACTAGCTGGCCCTGCTGCCTTCAGAGCCTGAAAGGGCCTTATATGCCGTCATCATAGGCATTGCCATACTGGCGGGGACTTTGATCCTTCACCAGAGCACCTTCCCAGGGACAGATGTTCTTGGAACACCCGTGGCCCCTGGGTCCATTTGTAAGGGATAGGGTGATTGAAGCTGCTGTGCCTGCAGATTGACGTTTCCATGGAGAGCAGGCGGCCCCTCACCTTTGTCCTGGACGTGCTCGGGCTTGGCCTGTGATGCAGCCCCAGCCCAGGCCCCGTGGCCAGTCGGGTGATCTGTGCACCGTCAGGTCACCCCAAGTGGGGAGCACTCTTCTACCCACCAGCTGTCACTGGGGTGGACTTGTGAGAGTGGAGTCCAATGGGAAAGTCGCATGGATGTGGCAAAGCAATAGTTCTAGAAGCTGGGCATGCGTGTGAAGGAGTGTATGTTGCATACATTTAGGGGTGGTTGTCTCTGTGGTCAGATGCAATCTATGTGTGAGAAATGCAAGTAGGTGATAAAGTCTTTATCTTAAAGGATGTCTTTTTGTGAACTCGTGGGTCTGGTCAAAATGTTCCGTCATTTCTTCGGGTGGTGGCAGCTTAGGGGCTTAGAGTAACGGCCAAAGCCACAGGGCCTCTTCATAGCCAATATGGCTTTGCTTCAAGGCTGACTTAAAAGCCTCTCCAGGCTCTCCCTGCACCCAAGGTTGCTGATTTTCTTCCTCTCAACTGCAACGGGAAGGATATGGGGGACCATGAAAGCAACTTTGCCATGGTCCATGTATTAGGGACCCCTGCTGGGCTTCCCAGACAAATACTTAGCAACCTCTGATTCTCTGGCTCTTGCAGATTGAGGAAACAGGAAGGGCTTCACAGAGACTGAGTGACTGCAGGGAGGCCCTCGGCCTTGCTGTTGGCTCCGGGGCAGTGAGGAAGATGTGGCTGTTCCTTGGCTGGCTGGAAGCTGGGCTCTATGTGCTTCAGGCAGAGCCTCAGGGCACAGCCTTAAGCTTCACCCTCCTCCCCTGCCCCTGGTCTCTACATTCTCGTGCCTGTCTCCCCTGACCAGAGTCCTATGGTTTTGATGCTCTAGATTCTTTAGGGACCAGGTGGAGAAAGGCCTTGCCACTCCCACTGTAGCTGGTGAGCCTGGGGAAGCAATGTGGCCGGGCTGTATTGCAAAGCCAGCTCTTGGCAAGAAGTGACTCCGGCAGGTTACAAAGGCTGGAGCTGCTGCCTGTGACCCTGGGAACAGGCCTGGTGCTGTGAACCCTGCTCTTCAGCGCCTGGCCGCTTTCCTGCCATCCAGATCCCAGTGTCAGCACTGGCCTGATGGAAGTGGGGGGAGCTGCCAGTACCATCTCTCTGCCAGTAGTTCCTTCCTGGTAGCCTCTGGTGAGCTCTGCCCTACCCAGGTCATCCTGCACCATTTTGATGTAACTCCTCTATAGTCAGAAACTTCCTGTGGCCCCGTATTCTGGGGGGATAGGAACTGCCGCTGATCTTGGCATTCAATGCTCAGTATGGTTTCAGGGTTTTCAAAAGCAGGGTCTGTTGCTCCCTTCTGCTGTGGCTGGTGTCTTTGACCCTGAAACTCCATTCTCTACCCTTCAGAGCCTTTCCTGGTCTTTGTAGCTCCTTGCATTTGTCCTCTTTTTCCTTTAAGGCTGTGCTTGAGGCCCTGTTTGCAGGGTGTGGTGGCATTTCCAGTCTGGACTGCTGTGCCGCCCTGGGCCAGGCAGCCTCCTGGAGGGAGCAGGAGAGATGATGAATGTTTGTGAAAATGAGGGAAACAAGACAGGCGGAGAAGAGTGTGGCTACTGCCAGAGTTCAGAGATGCCTCCCCGGTTGGGTTTTATTTTTTAATTTTTATTTTTATGTTTTAAAGATTTATTTATTTATTTATACAAGCACTGGGTACAGTCAGAAGCGCGGGAGGGTGAGAGAATCCACCAGAGCCAGAGCGGGGAGCAGAGCAGGCAGAAGGACCAAAGTACACTGCTGAGGGGAGCAGCGGGCGGCAGGAGAGGTCTGCGCGCCACGTGGGACCCTCCTCCGGTGGCCGGGGAGCAGCCGGGATTCGAACCAGTGCCGCAGAGGCTGCGGGCAGCTTCTCAACCCAGCGCTCAACTGCTGCGCCACCAGGGAGGTCCCCTGGTTGGGTTTTTTTTTTTTTTTTTTAAAGATTTATTTAATTTATTTATTTATACAAGCACTGGGTACAGTCAGAAGTGCGGGAGGGTGAGAGAATTCACCAGAGCCAGAGCGGGGAGCAGAGCAGGCAGAAGGACCGAAGTACACTGCTGAGGGGAGCAGGGGGCGGCAGGAGAGGTCTGCGCGCCATGTGGGACCCTCCTCCGGTGGCCGGGGAGCAGCCGGGGATCGAACCGGCGCCGCAGAGGCCGCGGGCAGCTTCGCAACCCAGCGCTCAACCGCTGCGCCACCGGGGAGGCCCCCCCTGGTTGGGTTTTAAAGAATGAATAGGAGCTTGTCAGTAAGATTCTAGAGGAGCAAGAAAGGAAATGACTCCAGTATGGGGAGCCACAGACAGCGCAGGGCCTTGGGTACAATGGGCAGGCCAACCTTGGGTTGGTGAACAGGCCATGTAGACTCTGTGTCCAGCACCCCCTTGGAATCCCTGGCTATAGTGGGGGATAGGCACAGGTCTGGTTGGCCTCAGGGTTTTCCACATATTTTCCATCCGTGTTGAGTGGGCCCCAGTGGGTCCACATTTGGACTCAGGAGATCTCCAGTCGCGTGGCCTGCTGCACAGGCAGGAGACAGGGCAGCAAAAATATTAAAATTCAGGGACCCTTGTAAGTCTTATTTGACATGGTCAGGGGCCAGGATGAGAGGGCCTAGGGTGCAGGTACTGGAGCTGGGGCCAGCACCTCAGTATCTTAGTGCTCCCCTCATCCTTTCAGGTAGGGAAACTGAGTCTTACCAGGCCATCAGTGGCAGAGCTGGGAGGTGACACACGTGTCCCTCTGTGGCCCAGCTCCTCGTGGAGATCCAGACGATGGCCCATGTGAGGGTGGTGCTGGCACCTCCTCATCTCAGGTGGGAAAATGCTGTCACACACCGGGACAGCCCGCACTGTGCACCCACAGGGCCCATGGTCACCCTTTCTTGGAAGAGTTGGTTAAGTGTTTTCGTAGAGTTTCCCACCCGGGTGTGACACACACACCATTTCACAATAAATAACCCAAGCGACGCCACACTCTGTATCTCGCGTAGCCTTTTGCTACTTTTGAAGACAAGTTGGGAATAGAGCCTTGAAGAATGTGTTTCATTTCCTGTTAGAGCAAATATTAATCCTGCAGGGCTTCCCGTATCTTCTCCAAAAGGGCTTAAGAAGCGCATTCCCCACACTCCGAAGGACCCCTTCTTGTGCCGCCTCACATCCTTACTCATCAGCGCTTGATGGCCTTTGGGAATAAACATGGGGGGCGCACAAAAACTTGGGGAGACTTACAAGCAAACCTGTGACTCTTTGGTTTCCACATGTCTGGCCGCTCTGCAGCACCCCAGTTCTGACCCCAGTCTGTTGCACTTGCGGTGCGTTCAGGGAGCAGCAGATGAGCCCCATTTTGGTGAGGGAGCTTCCTTGCGTGCTCTGCCCTCTGACTCCCCCGTGCTCTCTCTCATTTCAGGCCTCTGAAGACTAAACGTTGGATCTCGTGTGGGCACACCAGCCATTGTGGCCAAGGACATCCGGCGGATGGCTCAGAGTCCTCTCGGGCCTGGAGTTTCCGAGTGAGTAGACGCCGTGGGGGGCCCTTGGAGCTGTGCCCCTCGTGCCATCACATGTCCACCCCGGCTTGTGCGGTGTATGGGGGTTGGGGGAGAAGCGACAATGTGTGTGGGGGCCCTCACCTCCTGCAACAAAAGCTCAAACTCAGCAACACTAGAGCTTTTCATCATCTTCTGCTTTGACAAATTTACCTTTATTTTGCAGAGAAAGAGGGAAAGGATTACAGGGTATTTCTAGAAGCTAGATGGCCCCAGAGTAGGAGGAGCATTTCCTTATTCACCTCTCCTTTCAGCAGTTTTGTCCACAGGGTCCACCAGGTCCCATTTTTGCCACCCCAAGGGGCTCCTGTCCTCTGTGGGATGCTGTCTGGCCTTCTCGGGTGCCTCCTTTCCTGTTGGGGTGCTGATGGGGCCTGGGCCACCAGGTGGGAGCCATCTCCTCAATGGTTGCATACTCCAGCCCACTTCGTATGGACTCCAGGTGGCCAGGGTGCTGGGGTGCTCTGGCCCTTCCCAGAGGCAGCAGGCAGGGCTGGCTCACTTCAGAAAGTCCCCGCACATGGATTGTGAGTTTTGAGGGTGGGTCACCTCAAGAGTGCCTCCAGCTGGGCAGTGAGAGCCACCAGCCCTGCATAGTTTCCTAAAGCTGCTACAGGAAAGTGCCAGAAACTGGGTGAGTTAAATCACAGAAATTTATTGTCTTGCAGTTGGTAGGCTAGAAGATTAAGCCCAAGATTAAGATGTCATGGGGTTGGGGGACACCGAGGGACGGTTTGTCCAGCCTCCCTCCTCGCTGATGCTGGTGTGCCGAAATCTTTGTTGTTCTTTGACTTGTGCCACATGGTTCAAATCATCACCTGGCTTTCTACTTCTCTATTTCTGAACCCTAATGTATCCTTTGTACAAGGACCCAGTCATATCAGATTAGGTCCTACCCTGATTGACCTCAACTTGATCATCAGTTGATAGACTTATGTGATTTTTGTTTCATCTCTTGATGTGGGAGATGGCATCATTTGATTGTCTCATGTTGAATCAACCATTGCGTCCTTGGAATAAGTCCCACTAGGTGTGGGACCCATTTAATTTAAATTGTCAAATATTGTGCCAGAGTATGCCATAGAGTGCTCTTTTATTATTCTTTCAAGTCTCTGGGATCAATATTGATGACTTCTCTTTCATTTCTGGTATTAGTAATTTGGCTCTTTTCTCCCTTTTTCATGGTTTTCCAAGTTTTTTTTTTTTTAAATTTGAGTTCATTGATTTTCTCTATTAGTTTCCATTTTCAATTTCACTGATTTATGCTCTAATTTTTATCATATTTCTTCTGCTTTCTTTAGACTGAAATTGTTTATTATCTTGTTTTCTAAGATAGACTTTTAAGTTTTGGATTTTTGATCTCCTTATATACATACTTCTCTCTGAGTACTGCCTCTACCACATCTTACAAATTTTGACAAGTGGCATTTCATTTTTAATTATTTCAACAAGTTAAAATTTTTTCTCTGATATTTCTTAATTTACCCATGTGTTGTTTAGAATTGTGTTGTTTGATTTTCAAATACTTGGGGATTTAAGATATTTTCCTGTTCATTGGTTTTTAGCTTAGTACCATTCTGATCTGAGAATATAATCCTTTCTTTTCTTTTCTCTTCTCTTCTCTTCTCTTCTCTCTCCCACCCTCCTCCCTCCTTCTTTCTTTTCTCTTTATTTATTTATGCATACAAGGCCAGAGGTGCGGGATGTGTGTGAGAAGATTCCCCAGAGACAGAGTGGGGAACAGACCAGGCAGACTGACTGAAACACACTGCTGAGGGTAGCAGTGGGCGAGACAGGAGAGGTCTGCCGTGCCATATGGGTTGCTCCCTGGGTGGGGATCGAACTCGTGCTGCAGTGGCTGCTGATAGCTTCATAGTGCTGAGATTTAACCCCAGGGAGGCCCGATTTCTATTTTTAAAAAATGCATTATGGTGTGCTTTATGACGCTAGATATGGTCTGTCTTGGTGTTATGATCAGAATGTTTATGTCCCCTACCCCCAGTTCCTGTGTTGAAATCATAACCTCCAAGGTGATGGTATTAGGAGGTGGGGACTTTGGGAGGTGCTTAGGTGATTGGTCAAAGCCCTCATGAATAAGATTAGTGCCCTTGTAAAAGAAGATCTAGAAAGAGCCCTTGCCTGTGCATGTCAGGATCCAGCAAATTGTCTGGGACCTCAAAGAGGGCCGTCACCTGATCATGCTGGCACCCTGATCTTGGATTTCTCTAGCTACTAGAACTGTGAGCAATGCATTTTGTTGTTTACAAGCTAGCCTGTCTCTGTTGTTTTCTTATAGCAGTCCAAACAGATGTAGGCCCTTGATGAATGTTTCTGCATGCTTGAGAAGAATGCGTGTTTGGCTGTTGTTCGATGGAATATTCTATAAATGTCAATTAGATCCAGCTGATTGATAGCTCTGCTTAGGTGAACTATCCTTGTTGATGTTCTGCCCGCCTGTTCTATCAATTACTGACAGGCAGTGTTGAAGTCTCCAATTATAATGGTGCTCTTCTTTCAAGTCTATCAATTTTTGCCCATACATATTTTTTCACATTTTATTTGATAGTTTATTTATCTGTTTATTAAACTACTTCACTGAGATGTAACTGACATATGAAAAATGTATATACTTAATGTATAAAAAACTTAATGAGTTTGGAGGTAAATATATACCTATGAAACCTTTGCCACAATCTTTTCTGTAGATATATTTAATCACCTTCAGACGTTTCTTCTTTTTCATTATTATTTGGCTATTATTATTATTATTTTATTATTATTTTACTAATTTTTATTATTACTTTGTTGATAAAAATATTTAACATAAGTTCTGTTCCCTTAGGAAATTTTTATTTGCATTTTATTGTAAAAATACAATACAGCATTATTAACCATAGGCTCTATATATGCTATATAGTGTGTCTCTAGAATTTATTCTGGTATAACTAAAACTTTGTGTTATTTGTTACCAAATAATGGGCTTGCTACCTGATGTGCATAGAAGTGGATTGCTATGCTATCAAGTTTTGAGAAAAGAAAAGAAGCTTTATGGCAAATGGATTGGCAAGGAAGGAGAAGGAAACCTCAATTCTGCCTCCTTGGTTAAGAAAGGAGATGAGGTTTACATGGGTTTGGGGGACCAGGCTTGAGAACAAAGGGGCTAAATTTTCTTGGCTAAGGAGTGGGCTAAAGCTAAAGAAAGTGGACTTAGCTGAAGTTTTTGGGAAGTTACAAAAATTGGATAATACATGGAGAGGTTTCTCCGAATGACTGGACTTTCTTATATCCTGTGGCTTGGTGACTTGGAAACAGATAAGTGAGGCTGTGGACGGGATATCTCCAGTTGTCCTTGCTGGATAAAGGATCTAGCTCACAGTCACTATTTGGAAAGCAGGATTCAGACATTACTGCCTCCTTCAGATGCTGATGGTCTGTCTTTAAAATGGCACCGGTGGTGGCACTGGGGGTCGGGCCTCCCTGGCCTGTTGGGTGGACCCTGCCAGCACAGAAGCAGATGGACTTTAAGGGTCATTTCTGAATTACTAATTGTTTTGCTCTCTTAGTGGATAAACTTTTCACCTTGCCCTTTTCCCTGCGTCCTCAGTATTTTGTTTTTGGAATTACATTAGTGGGGCTTCTGCATATCCAGAAAAACAAGATCACCCCCTGCTTGTCAGTGATCCCAGCACCAGTATTGTTTCTCACAAACAGATTTTTCAACTGTCACCATCTGTTCTGCTCTTAATTATAAGTGTAAAAAATATTATTTTCCTAATTTTCTCAAAGGAAGGGCAGAATATGTATTCCTAAAGACCACAGCTCTTGTTTGAGGAAGTGGATCTGCCACCCACGCACTGAAGATACAGTTGCTTCTGCCCCAAATGGAAGCATCATAGTTACTTTACGTAAAGGGTACTATTGAGTCACCTACATCCACCTAAAAGGAAGTTAGGTGGAAGGAGCCACATTGACATGGAGCCCAAAAGGAGGGTCCCTCACACCCCTGTGAGGTCCCAGCCTCCCCGGTGCAGGATGGGAATGTGCTGGAGGGTGCATGGTGACCTTTGCAGCTCCTGAGGGTTTCTAAAAGCAGACCATGCTTTGGGGCAGTTTTTCTGCCCTTAGAAGCCCTTAGAAGCCAGTGATGCTGGTCCTGGCTGGCGTCAAGCTGCAAGTGCTGACAGCCAGTATATGGGACGGGGCAGCAGCTTCCTGACCCAAAGTGGGCTTGAGCATCCGTCCCAGTAGATGGGTATGGGCAGTGTTTTCTCTGGTTCTAAGCTGGGTTTGAGCCAAGCTTCGAATCCAATGCAAGGCACACAGAACATCTGGAGTTCTGTGGCTGGAGGACACAGGTTGAGAGGCCGAGTGGAGAAGTGTCATGTCTTGTGGCCAATGCATGGCTGAGGCTGGCAACCCTGAACATCAGAGCCTGATGCTGCTCTGCCTCCTACATTAAACACCTGGGTTGCCTAAAGAACAAGTGGGAAAGAGCTTTATTTTTTTAAATTGATTTATTTATGCATGTGAGAACTGGAGTGTATTCCAGAGGTGTGGGGGTGAGAGGATTCACCAGAGACAGAGTGGGGAGCAGAACAGATAGATTGAAATACACTGCTGAGGGGAGCAGTGGGCGAATCAGGAGAGGTCTGCTGTGCCATGTGGGTAGCTCCCTGGCTGGGGATTGAATTCATGCTGCAGTGGCTGTGGAAACCTTCTTAGGTTGTGTTTAAACCCCTTGCGCCACCAGGGAGGCCCCCAAAGAGCTTTATTTTTATCCCCACTGTCCCCCTAAACCTGCCTGGGGGTGCTGATTGTTTCCCTGCCCAAATGAGCAGTCAGGGAGCGCTCTGAGATTTCTGTTGTGCAAGGGCAGAGTTCTCTGGTTCTTTCCAACCTCAGGAACAGTCTCAATTCAGCACTAAAGAGGCCTACTAAGATCTCTGAGCTTTTCGACTCCTGGC